CCTATATCTGTTTACCTAAGCCTTGGGAGGGAAAGAGCACCGGGAAGGGTGAGTCAGTTGAGTGATCAGTTCTTACCTCATCCCAGCTTTTTACACGAGGTAATCATCTCACCCATCCCGCCGCCTCCCCTCCTGAGACCTAGGTAAAAAGTACATTCCTTTGGCTAGGAGCCGTCTCTAAGCGCAAGTATGATTAGCTTCACACTCTGTGCTCTAGCGCTCAGTGTCCTATAAGAGCGATGGCTTATCTCAACTACATTTTCACCGAAAGCACTGCACAGCGGATTGGAGGTGCACTTTAAAGCAGAACGATCATTAATCTCGAAAACGCACTCTTATAACTCATTATAGTACCCCCTCTTCCACTCCACTACTCTTTACCTTCCAACCGAAGTATTCAAATATCCTACGAATCCGAGATAGCCAATAGTACTTTTGTGGTGCATTGATTATAGCTACACTATGCGTGCATATGTAAATAACGAGTACAACTCCATTCTCGCCAGAGCAATCAAAAAAAAAGTCGTTCATCCACAATATTAGCCCGCAAATAATGCCGTAGTTGGCTTCCAAACTCCACTGCTTGCATCCGCTCAATGATATTCAAATGTTTTTCCATGCTTTTTCATCCTACCTTTTCATTGTTAGAAAATGCATTCCCAAGGATCTCTCCCACGATTTCCACTGAGAACTTTCTATGTACACCCTTAGTAGGAAACTTTTCAACCCAAACCTCCTAACGTTAAAAACGTAGAAGTAAGAACAAAAGCGACAGTACAGATGACTCGTTAAACTTAGCGATAAGTGGGGTTCATAAATTTGGGAACCAAATCAACAAGGAAGGCTTCAAAAAATGCTTCGAACTCTTTGAAACAAGGTCATTCTCTGCATTTCAATAAACCTTGCCAAGACTTCAGATCGAGTAAGAAGAGCAGTTATAAGTATTACAAGGTTGGCGATTTGTGGGCAAAACTCCAGTCTCGGACGGGACTCGAACCCGTACTTGTCCTTTCCGGAGACCGTGCTCTCATCCCTTACACTACCGAGACCCCGCTTGCCCTCGCCTTCTTAATNCATCCTACCTTTTCATTGTTAGAAAATGCATTCCCAAGGATCTCTCCCACGATTTCCACTGAGAACTTTCTGTGTACACCCTTAGTAGGAAATTTTTCAACCCAAACCTCCTAACGTTAAAAACGTAGAAGTAAGAACAAAAGCGACAGTACAGATGACTCGTTAAACTTAGCGATAAGTGGGGTTCATAAATTTGGGAACCAAATCAACAAGGAAGGCTTCAAAAAATGCTTCGAACTCTTTGAAACAAGGTCATTCTCTGCATTTCAATAAACCTTGCCAAGACTTCAGATCGAGTAAGAAGAGCAGTTATAAGTATTACAAGGTTGGCGATTTGTGGGCAAAACTCCAGTCTCGGACGGGACTCGAACCCGTACTTGTCCTTTCCGGAGACCGTGCTCTCATCCCTTACACTACCGAGACCCCGCTTGCCCTCGCATTTTTAATGGCTTATATGCCATAGTTTATCAGCACTCACACGTACAACGTGTTGAGCCGGTCGGCCAGTTCAGCACATACCGTTAAGCTGTAAGGTTTACATGATATAAAATTAAGAAGGCGAGGGCAAGCGGGGTCTCGGTAGTGTAAGGGATAGACCTACGTAGGGGTGCCTACGGGTTCGTAGGGGTGCCTACGGGTTCGAGTCCCGCCCGAGACTGAAGTTTTATCCATAAATCGCCAACATTGTGAGATTTTCGCTTCGCGTACTGCGGCGTTAAAATAGCAGTTAACAAAACATCAAGTCGAAACAAGTTAGAGCAGTTCCATAAGGAAAGTAGCTTTTCAAAAACCAAAAACAACCCTTTACCCCCTCCCCCCCTTCCCCCGATTTTATTCGAACTACTACAATCGATTCAGTTTAGATAAGATATTTGCGACAAAGGAAGCACAGTTCACATAGAAAACAAAAGTTCTATAGGAACCATTGAAATGAGCATACCGCTTTATATTTGTGTTCCAAAAGCTCTTTAAAACTTTATAAAGACTATCCCATACCTAACATTATATCTTAAGGAAGCATATGCAGAGCGATGACACCCACAACCGCACAGCGAACGACCAATGCGGTCGAATGGAAGGGGATAGCGGCAGTGGCGATGGCGGCCCCTACGACCGTGACGCCGCACGCGACGCGTCTGAGCCGCGCGCGTGGGCCGCACAGTCGACAGACGACGCCGCAGCAGCTCGCATCGCGACACTCTTCAACGAGTTCATGGAGGTCGGTTTGATTTCATTCTTGAGCTCGATTCAGACGTGGTAGGTCGTCCAGAGTATCTTCGTTAACCACTATGGCATCGACAGCTGTAAGTGCCGCCGGTAATGCGGCGGTGATGACGGTGAGCCGAATTTGTTACGTCAAATAGTCTACTGGTAATGAATTATTCAGAAACCTCCTCCAATAGTCGAAGGCCACAACCTGCAGACGCTTCATCCGGCTGATCAACAGTGGGTCGGCACACATCAGCCATCGCCAGCGCAACCAGTACAGGTTCGTCATTGATTGCATGTGAACTCGTCCGCGCTTGGTTGTAGTTGGTTGTTGATGATCTCAAATTACTGGGTGAATGGTCCAGCTTAAGCCTAGAGCACTTACCCTGCGAAAACTGGCTAGGTGTAACTTATCGTTTAGAACTATAGCTTACCAATTTGCGGAAATTTGATCCACCTCTCCTTTTGAGAGGTTACGCCTGTTTATTTTTGCTGCTGGAATCTTGGTTAGTGTGTGCCGGATTCACTTAGGTAACTGCTACAACCATTCGCTTGGCTTAAACAGGTCTTCCTTTCCCTTGCTGAAGTAGAAAACCAGTTTGCGCCAGGGTTAGGGTCAGGCGTGTGCCAAGAAGTTCTCCCTTGAGGAAAAGTTGAGCTAATAGGTTGAACGGCCTAGATTTCCATAGAAGGTTTGCCTGACGTCAAATAGATGTTGTAGAAGTATTGAAAACGTCGAGACTGAAAAAGTTTCATAGGGCCATATCTCATAAAGTTTTTGCTGGATTACGGTATGCAAAGCAGGAGCCTGGGAATGTATTCATGATTGTCGAGCCAGTTTTTTTTTAGCTCTCAGTTCAGATATGTAGTTAGATCTTGCTGATGGGTTGCGATGCCTCCTGCTTAGTCTGTAGTAGTGGGAGTGTTTCACATATCTTGTCTGTGCTCGAGATTAATGCCTTCGCTATTGAAAAACCTGATTACTCATAAAAGTGGGAACCTAGCCGGGAGGTGGCTTGTATACTTCATTCTACTTGATTTGAAGAGTTGATTAGTGTCCCTTACAATTTTTCTCAAACCGACCTTGAAACCAGATTTTTTTGTGAGATTGGTGCAGTTGAAATGATTGGCGTTTTTTGACGCCTGTTTTTGTTGATCGATTTTTTATTATAAAATATTGTACACGTGAAAGCAGCTCTTAAAGTCCTTTTTTTACTATCAGGAATCTATTGAGCTCGTTAAGTACCCTGCAAGCCTAGTCGTGTAGATCTCTTTCAGTTGAGAAGCAGCTTTACAAAATCAGAGCTCGTTGATGAAGGACTTGGTACAATCATCCTTATCGGTCGATCCGCTCCTTCTTCACCTGGGCCAAACGTAGCGGTGAGGAATTTTCTCTACTATGTCGATTCCCATAGGTTTCAGTCCCAAAATGGTTACCTTTCTTCCCTTCTGCAGAATATGTCCCACGGGGGTACCTAAGGAGTTTGGCATTTCCCATGGTAACCTAGCAGTTGCCGACTAGACATAGCCCCTCACCCTTTTCGTGACTGATGGAATACAAACCTGTCGATGAGGATTCCTCACCGCACGCTTGACCCTGAACTTCCCTAATCTGAAGTGACGGAAGAGGATTAACAACATTGACCGCGTTAAGGGCCCTGTAGAAGGCAAAAGAGGCAGAAGTTAAAAGGAGAATAAAAGCTGACTAATGAAACAAATCCGAGATCTTATTCCAATTTCTCATTTTCCTTTCAAAATTTTAAATGAGGCTCTTTTAGAGGAATGAAACCCTTCAACTTCAGCATCACGGCGGATCGATGATCACCGACGAGATTCGTTTCAGTATAATAGACGCCGTTTACTTGAGACCAGGTATTTGGGATTGTCAAAGGTACGGCTCTACATGGAAAGTGATTTGAAGGAAACGTGTAAGCCCTCCGTCTTTAGAGAGAAAACCGTTGGCCCGTCAAGGAAGGAACTTTTCGTGGAAGTAACAAATCTGATTAATCAACAGAATCAGCTTGATCCAGAGCTCACACGTATGTGATCTTCATTTTGCTTGGTTTTATTGTATGATTGAGCGATTATCTCAGTAGGGCCATGATAACATTGTAGTGTACTGCCGCGGGTAAGGTTTGAGGGGAGTGATGGCCGGTATGGATCGAAAAATAAATGATGAACTTAAGCGGGTCGGCAGTATGGGGGAGGAGGAGGGGCTGAAATATAATTAAACAAATAATTGATTAGTGGCTTGAGAATTTAGCAGAGTGTGCTCGTCCAGTCGCTTTGTTTTTTCTAAGGGCTCTTTTGACTTTGTTTTTTTTTTTCAGCCGAAGAAGTGGAGAAACAATGGAAGAATTTGAAGGATACCTACGTGAAGACAAGAAAGAAGGTACAGTAGTGTGTTATTACTTGACTGATTGTATTTTCACGTTAAGTATTTTCACAAATACACTGGGTATCCCCACAGATGTTCCTTTGCAGCTTTCATACAACAACGATAGCATGCCAGTGACTCCGAAATGGAAATTCTACAGCTCCCTGATGTTTTTGGATGATTTGTTCAGTGTTCATAGTAGGAACATTACAAAACGACGAATCGATGAAGTGACTGGGCCATCTCAGGTTTGTTCAGCAAACTGGTCTTTTTTCCAGAGACAGAAGTTTTTCGCCAAGTAAAAGATAAGAAGTAATTCAAGCACATCATATATGGCACGGTATTCAAAAGATTCTTCTCATGCCCTTCCGGCAATTGTTCTCTGTCCAAACAGAGAGGCGGTTAATCTTTTAATCGGTCTGGTTGGTTCGATTCGTATTTCGTTTGACATGTTGGGCGAAAGAATTGGCTACAGAAGACTCTTTTTGATGATCCCAAGATATTTATGGTTCTCTTTATCGTCAATTAGAGTACGGTCTGGTTTTACAGTTGTCAATGTATGGCTCTCAACTGCAGAAAATGAGTTGCAAGCCAATGTTGCGACCTTTCTGTGTAGCCTTCTGAAGTGGTGCTTGTCGGGTTGGTTCTGCAACTGCTATAAGATTCCTTTTTTTAAGAATTCTATGGTCAGCGCGAAACGCATACCACCTCCGCCGTCGGAAGATGCTGAAGATGAGGACGAGTATATGGCATTTTGTGGGTTTTAACACATTAGTCGATTAGAAAAGAGGCATCCATGAGGTCGAGAGTAATTTCCAAGAGCTTTAGGTCGTTCCCTTCTACATCCACTACGAGAGATCGCATACAAAGACCGTATTCAGTACCTTAAAGTTCAGAAAGCAATTCGTGATCTTTTACATGACGCACAAATGGATATGCTTCTCACTCATATGCGATAGATGCACAAGATGTGTGTGTGTGCAATCGCACCCAGCGAATTTCCGGGTCTTCTCTTCTCTATTTGCCATCACTTTTTGTGTGTGTCTCTCTCAACACTCTATGCCTCCCCTATATGAAACTGTTACTTTTTTTTATCTTTGTTTGCGTTGTTATAAGATCGTCATTATTATCCTTTTTGTTTAGAAGTCCTATTGTAGATAAGCGGCTGACATATATGATTGTAGATTAGTGATCGGTCTTTGGCCGTCAACATATAATTCTCTGCTTCGTTTGAAGTCAATTATTTGTTGTGTTGGAGAAAAATAAATGCCGTCTAAAATAATTCAGTTATGTCTCTGAACGGATGGATGACCGGCTGAAAAAGCTCCATATGAAAGCAATTCGAGTACGTATTAGGGGTAATACTGAAATTCCATTACTGCTTTATGTTTGGTTACGGGCTCCTAGAGAATGGAACCAGACGGGGAAGCAGTTTCTGTGGATCATGCTCACTGGCGAGGAAAAGGCGTGTCCGTTCGGTGTCTGCAGTCTCTTCCACAACGCTTCTTCATCGGAAATGGACATATAAATGGGATTACTGCCGTGAAATAGCTTTGAAGTAGCGGAAATCCCTCTCTAACGACTGACTTCGTTTTCTATCTCCATGAAACATAAGGAATGAAGGTAAGCCGATGAGATCGCGAATGGTTTTGATTTTGTGAACGTTCTGTAGGTTCTTAGGGTGAATATGGGAAACTTTCAGTGTTGCTATGTTGCACACTACACCAGTAGGGCTTTTATGAGCCTCGTCTTTATGCCCTTGCATTAATCTAATGCACACATATTTGCTCTGACATTTCCATATAGGAATGCCTTTTCAAAAGGGCAAGGAGGAAAAGGCAAAAATATGGGCAACCCTCCCACGTTCGATAACGGCAATTAAACTTTTTATGTTGATACTGGTCGTAAAGTGTCGTAAAATATCCGTAAAATAGCGTAGAAGAAGCGAGATTACGGTAAGAATTTGGAGCCAAATTGGGACTTTTGTATGGGCTGGCTGCCGGTACAAAAAGAACGAGTGCAAAGGGAATAATTGGATTCTGAAATATTGGTTCGAATAAATCAAATGATGTACGAGTTGGAAGAATTCCTTCTCCCAGGAAAGTACCCAAGCGAAATGAATGCGAACTTATTAATAGAAAAAGAAAAAAGGCAAGCGAACGCTCGCTCGGGGTCGATGCGTAGCCGTCCGGGTCTCTCTCACTTGGGCGTTCTATTTCACGATCTTTACTCGCACCCACTCGCTCTAAACCATTTAGTTGGGACAAGCACGCAAAAACTCGGGGTGAAAATTTCGAGAATACCGATCATGCAATGGTCTTATCGTAAAATTAAATGTAGCAGACGCAAAACGTCACGAACAACATGTTTAATTCCACGACATTTCTGTTGTAATACTATCCTCATCCCGTCACATAGATGGCGCATCAAAAAAAGGTCGAGGCTGCGGTGTGTGTTCAATGGGCCGTCGCTTGGCTGTTGAACGTCATAACTAGGGGTTCGGATCAGGATCCGCAGCCTGATTACCGTAGAAATCGGGTGTCTGTCCTAGACGGGGAGCCTTGTTAGGGTTTTTTTGAGAGTTTTTGAGGTTATCGGTGAGTTGAGAACCTATAGCAAGTTGTAGGATATTCTCTTTGATATGCCAAACCTGATTCGGCTTGAATGAGCTAGGGTAGATATGAAAGAAAAACAAAAATGTTATCCAGACTGTTGGCTAGCTTATCTCGCCATCAGCCGCATGGCGCTACAGGGCAGTATGGTGGTCGAAAGGAGGGGTGGTGTATTGCGACGGGGTGCCCGTCTGAGTGGGTAGAAGCCCTGTCCTGAACATCGGCTGATTATCGCAGTCACTGAATAGGCTAGGTAAACATCTAAATGTGACAGCGGTCCTGACCGGGAGCCGAAGGTGGGAGGTGGAAGCGCTGATTAATTCTACCCTACAATCTTGCCATCATTCAAATTCTGGTTCCATACAAAGGATACCCTCGCTATATATAGCTGACTTTGTGCCGTTGTTGCGAACAACACTTTCAAATTCCGTCTAATTTTTTTAGTTTTGTTATGAGTATATAGCAAAGGTGCAAGACTGGGAACGCCTTCTCAAGCCATCGTGCCAGAGTTGGGGAGAGAGAAGCGGCAGCGGCGACGCAAGACAATGACCACTTATCCAGATGAGAGCGCAGACAGCTAGATACTCGCCGATCGATTGGCGTCACGTGACAGATTTCTACCAAAGCGCATACAGTGCGTTCCATAATTATAAGGTCACCCTCGATTTTTGCGATTGTGGAAAAAGCAGCCAAAATGGAATTTTTTTGGCAAACACAGAAAGATTCCTCATTACAATGTACCTCCGTATTCATATTTTGGTCGCGATATCCTTCACCTCAAATTTTTTATGAATTTTTTAAAGATAGTGTCGGCGTTTGCACCGTTTCATAATTATAGGGTCACCCTGATAAAGTAAGTGATTTATTAACGTTGGTGGCATATGCACAACACTTAATAATCTATAGCTCCTCCTTGTTTAAGAGCAACATCAAAGAGTCTGCGTGGCATACTAGAAACTAGTTTTCGAAGATGTTCCTCA